GGATTGCATGAATGCATATTACTTTTATGGGTTGTTCAAACAGATTAATATGCTGAGATCCAGTGTGGGACATTGGATTTGTATCCAGTTTTCTTTTCTTCCCAGTAGTCACCTGATTGGTGGAAAAGGTGAGATTTTTGGTGAGATGGGTAGCTATGTGAATCTGATTACTGAATAAATACAGTCAGAATTTTGATTGTTAAACAAGGCAGTTATTAAATAAGTCGCACCCAATTTTATGACCTTTTTTGCTGTGGTTGTTAATTAAATCAGATAGTTGTTAAGCAAATGAGGCATCCCCCATTGACTTGGGCTTCAGAATGCAGCTGGGAAAATTGCAAACAGTGATCATGTGACTCCAAGATGTTTCAATAATTATAAACACATGCCAATTGCCAAGCACCTGAATTTTGATCATGTGACCATGTTCTTTAATGTGAGGATCAGTTTTTTTCAGTGCTGTTGTAACTTTGTAATTTTGAACAATCATTAAACAACTGGTTATAAGTCGAGGAATTCCTGCATACAGAAGCAACTGCTTTGATCTCAGAATGCATCGTTAAAATTCCCAGCTCCACATTGTCCTGGGCGTAGTTTGAAAGGACTTGAAAAGAAACTAATTCGTTCTTTATTTTTGCTTTTAGAAATAATCCATCTTTAGGAGAAGCGAGTTCTGGTGGCAAGTGGCAATTTTGATCTTCCACCCCACCCTCACCCTGATGGTGCTATTCTTGCAGTTTTGTTTAATTTAATTTCAATATTTAATCGTATGGACCTTGGACCATTGGAAATGGATATTCCATATGAGTAGCTGACCTTGAACCTCACTGCCTTTCAGTCCCTAATGAAAAACAGTTTGTGTAAGGTCAAACAAGATCAGCATGATAGTGTTTCTGAACACTAAAAATATTGTAGAGATGCTAAATAAAGCCAGAGGGCTGCAAGAGATTCCATGGTATAAAAATAAATAAGCTGATTTATACATGGGAAAGGCACAGGAAATGGACCCATACCCAGTCTGCCACTGGACTATGCTGGCAGGCAGTAGCTCTGTGGGATTTCTGGTAGAAAAATTTTCAGGTTTGGAATTTGGAGGTGCCAAAGGTGAAATTTTAACCCACTTTTCATGCAAAGTTTCAGGCATGCATTAAGCTCATAGCTGCCTCTCTGTTCACTATAGTTATGCTGTCATGAAAAGGTCTACCTAAATGAACTATTTTCTTCTTTTTGAGGATTCCCAAAGTTTTGACATTTTTTTGATAGTGATTTTCTTTGATTTGGTAATGTATCCTTCCAGATATAGTGAAGCTACAGCTAAAAGTAGTCTTCAACAATCGTCACAAAGAATTGACATCCAGTAACATTTTGAGACTATGGGTTTTTTTTCACCCCTGATTTAATCTGAGGGAATAACATATGTTAGGGCTATGATACCTACATTGCAAAAATCTGGATGACCACTAGACAGCTATACAGAGATACTGAAAAATCACACACTGAAAAATCACACACTGAAAAATCACATTAGACCATCATCAACTAGACTTTTTCTCACATAGATGTGATAGCAAGATATATCTTCTCATTGTCCTCTGGTTATTTCGTCTTCAGATCCCATTGAACTCTATCATAATGACTAATGGTAAAGAATTATTTCAAGATAACTGTTAAGTACGGTAATGTATATTCCATCTTTAAATGATGGTGCATGAAATAAGTTTATACTGCACCAAATCACTGGCCCATCTAACATAGCATTAGCTCAACCAGTCCAAGTTTTCTTTCCAATCTTACATATGAGGCTTAAAGCAAGGAATGTCTCCATGAAAAAATGTACTCTATCATTACATTATGACTCCTCCAAAATAAATAGTTCTTAGCACTGAGATTTCTCACAATTTTTTTTTACTGTGCCCACAACATAGTAGTTTCCATCATGAAAATACCAACCAGGAAAAAAATAATACAATTGTTTAACTTGTATTGCAGCATTTTGAGTAGAGATCCATTTCTATTTCCAATGCACTAAGTATTACATACACAGCCAGAGGGCATTTTAAAAACAAGAATGGTAGACTCTGGTTCCCAATTTAGATTCTGGGCAGAAATCAGCATTTTAAATAATCAGTTAAAATGCTGGGCTTGTTGGCTGGACAGCTGGCAGCCTAGGTTTGAGACCTGAGGGCCACATGACTGGGTGAACTCCTATCCTCAGTTCCTGCCCATCTAGAAGTCCCAAAGCATGCAAATACATAAATAGGTACCATTTTGGTGGGAAGGTAACAATGCTCCATAATGTCACGCTGGCCACACAAATGTCTTTGGACAGCGCTGGCTCAATGTCCTTGAAATTGAAATGATTACCAGCCCCTATAATTGGCAGCAATTAGTGACTCTTTTTTTTTACTAAATGTTTGCAAATAGAGGTCAGGTACATAGGTTACAGCCATACCTACAGTCAACATTTTGCTCTGCTGTCTTATAAAGTCTAGAAGCATTTCCACCCCACTTGCTAACAAATTAGCACTGCAGGCAAGCAAGAAAGATGTATAAGTAGATTCTATACTAAATCTTTCCAGCATAGTATAGCATAGTAAATAGTAGCATCAGGTAATGACTTGAGTGGAAAAAAATGAAGCAAAAATAAAAAATAAAATAAAATGGAAAATCTAGGATCCAGAAGAAAGCAGCAGTTTTCTACTTAGAAATCTACTTTCTAAGTATTTTCTGCTTGGTTTGCAGGAGATCAGTATAAACAGAAGAACTGTGCAGAAAAAATAAATAATAAAAAAAATAAATTAAAAAAAGGAATGTAATATTTCATGAGTAAGTATCCCATGTGAACATTACCACTCAGTCAATTCCAGTTTGTCCTGGGAAATTTTTACAATAGCTACTTCCTGAGAGACACTTAAAGACATGAACTTCCTTTTTAGTTGATACTTCTGGTGGACAGGATGTCTCCTTTTTTAAAAAAAATTGTACCATTTTGTCTCCTCTTGAGAGTTGGTGTATAACCTAGAGCAGAACTGGAGCATGAGGCTGTAGCAGAAAGGACAGCAAGCTAATTCCTATTACACTTGTGATTATTTTGGGTAAGTTATTTCGTGAAATCCTTTGACACTACAGCAATAGAAAATTGCTGAGAAATGAGAACATTCTTTGACTTCCCTGGATCTTGGATTAACATTAATCGATAATAAATTGATGTCACCACACACACAAAATAATGATTTAGCAATTCCAAATAATAGGACACAACAGCCTCAGTCTTGCATGTACACAGATAACACACATAGGACAATTCATCTATGCTTTATTTTTCCTTGAATAATCCTGGCAGTCTGAATAATTTCATTAAAAATAGTTTGGCTGGATTTAGATTAATTTGGATTGCATTTTGCAATCCTGTGTCATTTGTTATATTGTCCTAAAGTTCTAAGAATCCAGAAATATCCTAATCAAGGAGAGAACCAACCTAGAACAAGGAGAAACCACCTAACAATTGGAACAATTACTATATCTAGTGGAAATGCTTGCCTTTAGAAGTTGGAAGCTTTTAAGAAGAGACTGGACAGTCAGTTGTCTGGAAGGGTATTGGGTCTCTTGCTTGAGTAGGGGGTTGGACTAGAAGATCTCTCATGTTCTTCAAACTGTGTTATCCTGAACTATATATTATTGTTTTAGACTGCTGGTAAGAATTGCTGTGTTATTTTTTGTTTCTTCCCATCAAAACATGTTGCTCCCAAGTTAGTAATGGTTAAAATAAATCCCCCTTTTTATGTATGTATATGTCTAGGCTCATATAATTCCCTAAGCCATGTCTGGGTTTAAGCAACACCTTAAGTTGAAGCCAAAACATCCCACTGCATGGCTTAATGTAGTATCTGAATGTAGTCTGTTATTAAATTTGCCTAGATCCAATTCACTCTGTTTTAGTTACTAATGGTTCCATTACCTGTTCACTCATCACTTGATTTTCCAGGAGACAATGTGTGAAATATAAATACATGAGCCTGCCAAGAGTTTCCCATAAATTGAGGATTTCTCATGAGTGTTGAGGAATATTATACATAACTCTTTATGAATGAGGATAATTTTCCAATGCTGAAATGAGTAGAAGACAATGAGATTTTATTGTACTGGGGTCCATTCATAAACTGAAAACATTCAGAACTTTGCTTTGCCATAATTTCCTGGTTGGTTTAGAACTATAAACCAAATTCAAATAATCTGGATTAACGAGAAAGAAACATTCCTATACTCATGAAGAAAATATCTCATTGAAAATAAGTAACTGACAGATGAATGTTTTCATCCAATTTGTAGAGGATTGATTTATGGTTTGGTAATCTCAAGAAAAGCAATTTAATTTAGCTAAAGTCAATTGAAAGAAAGCTCTGTGCCCTAGCTATACTACAAATATTAAAAAATTTAATAGCAATCCTCTTTTCCCAAAGTTACTTTATTGAGTCTAAGAAATAGACTAGAAAAAGAAAAATTTGAACACTCAAAATGCATTATAATTCTCAGCATTCTTGATGGGAAGGCATAAATTAAATTGGCATTAAGTCAATACAACTTAGCAGTATAGCTAATCCTATTGGGGAAAGACAGTTACCTTCAAATATTAAAAAGTAAAAATTGGAGTCATGGCTTAGATATAAGCTCCCATTGCATCAATTGAGTCTTTATGGTACTCACAATTTCACAGGACCACAATCATTCCATTAATAAAAAGGTAAGGGTCAAGTTAAGAACCTTCATGTCATATCCCTCCCTCTCAAATTTCTCTATTAGCTTACACTGCAGCCTTGTCAAATTTATCTTCACAATGCAGAGTTATTCCACAATAAAAAAGCTGACAACTAAAAAAAAAAGCACTTGCAATGAAAGCTAGAACATATATTAATGGTTCTCTATTGTAGGATATATTACAAGAATGTTTTTACGCCGCTGATAATTACAAAAAGAAAGGCTAGATAATTTTAATTAAAATAACAGGATATAATGAAACCTTTAAAAGAATAAGAAATGAAATCTGGATAATTCAAAGGCATCCAGCCCCACAGGGCCCCCGTTCTACTTCCCATAGAATCCAATGGGATAGCATGGATGGAAGCCTTCTCATGGTTTCCATCTCTACAGAGGTTGACCTGATCTGAACTTCATTTGCTCTCCTGTTGTGACCCATTGAAGATGCAGAGCTTTTGTGTTCAACCCGCCAGCACAGAAAACCATGAAAACACACTGTAAACCTGTAGAACTCCCATCAAAATGATGGAAGGTTTTTAAACATCTTCTCCATTTTCACTGATGGAGACTGTATGTATTTTAATGGTGGGTATTTGCTGGTCCTTTGGGTTTTCTCCTGATGTGTTTGCACAGCAGCACTCTCTCAGAAAACCTTTACTCTTCACTTTGGCTGTAGAACAGCTGGACCTTTCTTTCGGAGCATTGCTCTTGGTTGACATGCTTTGCATGGCTGAAAAAAGTTTCCATTCACACACGCCATCTGATTTGGAAATCTTATAGAAGTGTTCTCCAGAGCCAACAGGTATACGGACAATATCTTTGGGAGCTTCAGCAACATGGTTGCTTGGGTGATTGAGGGTGAAGCTCAGGGAGTATTTGTTGGAGGAATACCTCTTGTGGAGACACTGGGCTCTTAGGACATTTTGGAATGCTTTTTTAAACTCTTGACTCGAACAAGGGTAAATGATGGGGTTGATGCAGCTGTTTAGATACCCAAGCCAAAAGGCAATTTTAAAAATGGTTTCAGAGGGCTTGCTGTCAGGAAAGAAAGAACCTGAAATGGAAACAAAAGCAAAACAGAATTTTAATGGATTTATAAAAAAGCAACTTCAGAGGATCAAGGGGTAAGAAATCAAAGGAAGGGAATACTTTTTTCAAAGTTTTTAATTATGAATCATCGTAATTGAGATAATCTCTGGGCAAGAAAATGTATGTGGAATCCTTGGTGCTCTCTGCGCTTGGTCGTTTGGTTGCAAACATTTCATTACCTGATTATGTAACCTCATCAGCGTGCAATGTGTCTTATTTAGTTGTGTACTGTACAGTGATGTTGTTATTTAGTTAGGTAATGAAACATCTGCCAGAAAATAACTAAGCTCAGAGACCACCAAGGACTCCATGGTTCAACCATGAGTTACAGATATTCTCTTCTATTGGAACTGAAAAACTATTTCAGAACATAATGTAAGAAAAAGTCCAGTTAAATGTTTTAAGTCCCTATTTATTTTGCTGGGAGAGGTTGAAATGCGAAAATCCATAGAATTCTGAAAGGCTGAAATTCAATCTGAATTTTATTCTGTTTTATTTTTATTTGTTTAGATGAGGTGCCAATTATTCATATAGTGGCCCATGCATAAAAGCAAAATGCACATAGTCTTATTTAATGAGATTACCTAGGATCAGGGAACTAGGTATAGATAATCATTATGCCTTGGTTGCCCATAATTAAGCTTGATCCAAGTGAAGTAGAAACCATCCTCATTGCAAACTTTGGCTGCAGAGCCTGTCATGCCTCACTCATGCTCATTGTACACTACACGTACCAGTATTACAAAGCAAACATCATTCTACTTTAGTAGTCAAGGCATCCTTTAGAAGTCTTAGGCAACAATACTAAAAAGAGCTACCTGATAATAAGCCCTTGAATATATGGGAATCATTTATGAGCAAACCCACATGATATTGTGTTGTAGATACAACCCTTATTTCGGAGGATTATTTCCCTTTAAAATCCACCCAATATGCAGCCTTCCCTGTGCAATGAATCAACACATCTATCAGCAGAACAGCCAAGAGACTTGGAAGAAAAACATGAGTTCAAAAGAAGCTGAATTGGCTGGAGATAATTTTAGATCAAGTATATGGTACACGTCTTGCTTATCTTCTTCCTACCCGTCACAGGCAGGTTGTGCTTTTTCTGAGCTCCTGCCCAATTGCATGAATCATCTGCAATATCTGATCTGTGAAATGGGGATGGCGGTGATGGAAGATCACTTTGTAGGTGACCCATTGGGCTGCTGGTGCAAGGGAGAATATGAAGCAGTATGGCACTAATCAACCTGGCTAAGTTTGCTTATGTTGAGACACTGGTGTGAGGAGACACATGGCCACTAATTCCCAGGTCTTGTCCTGCAATAAATGATTGGTCCTGTTCTGACCCATCTCCCCAAACGCGACAAACCTTCTGATGTGAACTCAAAAGATTCCTTTATTAGGAATGCTGGCAGCCCTGGCAAAAAGTTTCTCTCTCGACGCAAGACCATCTGGCCGGAAGATGAATAGTTGTCTGCCACTGTTATTCATCTCTGCCCCCTGCCTTTTATCCCCAGAGCTAGGGTGGGGCTTCGCTAGTGGCAGTGGCTCTTCCATCCCAAGGATCAGCCCATAGATTTCCACTGCTCTGTCCTCTCCTCTGCTTTCTGTGCATCCATGCGTCAGGCACTGGACCCAGCTATTCCTCTTCTTCTTCATTAACCTCCAGACCTGAGGGCTGTTGATTCTCCATCTGAGGGCTGATAGATGGCTCAGACTCTGCCTCTGTCTTTCTTTGTGCCAGCTCCATTCCCTCTTCCCCTCAGAGCTCTCAGGTTGCCTTGATGCTAATCCTGACTCTCATGCCTCCTCCTCCTCATGGGTGGGGTTCAAAAATTTCAGCATTGGGTTCTCTGCTGGTTGCTGGGTGGGTGAGGCCATGGTGGGTGTAGCCTAGTTTGCTCCTGCACCATGGCGGGGCTGTTTTTGCATTCCGAGGCTCTGGGAGGGTGAAAACTGCCTCCCTGGGCTTTGGAGGCCCTCCAGAGGCTGGAAATGGACCCGTTTCTGGACTTCTGGAACTTCTGGGAGGACCATTTCCCCCCTTTCCTGAGGCTCTGCACTTACCTCGCATCTAAAACAGCCTGTGTGGAGACTCCTAGGAGGTCGCATCTAAAACAGCCTGTGTGGAGACTCCTAGGAGGGGCGGGGTGGGGTGGGGTGTGGTAGGCGGAGCCAGCTCGGGTGGGATTTTGCAGTTTTCCCAACCAACCATAATGTTAGCTACGGGTCCACCTGAACGCGGACGTACCCGTAGCAGCCCATCAGACTGGAGGAAAAGATATTAAAATGGCCTTCTGGATCATTCACAGATGTGTCCTACATTGTGGACTTAGAATAATATTGATCAAACATTATTATATTACAAGCACAGCAATATACTTGCAGAGCACAGCAGAAGATGCCCTATAGATCTAGCATGGTAATGATTTTGCTCAACGCGGAGCTTTAATGGCTCTTCGTATCGCAAATACACAGGACTGATATTGAAATCAGTAGCTGAATTATTAGAGTTTTTGCTAGTTTAAAGTGAATAAAAAGGGGGAGGGGAAAAACAGAATGACTGGGGTTTAGATAGGTCAGCTGGTCTGAAGTTGTTAAAGGTGGAAAGCAACTTCAGGATTCAGAAACTGAGATAATACCTACTTACAGTGGTTTCTTCAAGAAAAGTGGTTAACGTTATAATAATTAAACTAAATGCAAAGTTAAGAGGCCTTCTGTAATGCAGCTTTTAAAGGGTCCTCCCCCCCATGCAGGTTAATTGACTATTCAATTTGAACATTAATGGTAAAATTCAGCATTCCCAAAGCCTCTTTGCATCAAGTTTAAATCAGCATATAGGAGACTTTAGAGAGCTGCTAATGGAATTTAATAATCCTTCCTAATTTCACTTCCCTTTTTAAAAGATTCTAAGGAACATCTGCAGTTACTCAAACCCATTTTCCTCTTTCCATTCTATGCTTTACAAACCGGACTTCTTAATCAGTTTCTTTCTATGAAACTCATGGAAATTGGTTGCTGGTAGCTTGCCAAAATAAACAGAAAAATGGTGTATTAATTTCATCTAGGTCTTAAAATGCTGGATTTCTTTCCCTTATTAAACAGCCAAGAAGTAATATTTCAAGAACTTGGTAAGAGACAGTGGAATTTAAGGAGTTGCTGTTCAGCAACGTCTGGAAAAACTCAGGTGGCTGAATTAGGGATTTAATGAGTAAAATTATCATTCTTAATAGGGTCCAGAAACAGATGGGAAATCAATGAAGACAGTTTGGAGAACAGATCCCCTGCTGTCTTGGAGTCATCAACTGGATGTTACCTTTTGCATCAGAGTAAGTTTTAAATTTTTTTTCAAATCCCACTACTTATTTATTTTGTTATGTATCTGTCCAAGATTTCTTACCCAGCTTTACGCAAAAGCCTTCAGGCAATCTCTTTAATAACTCTGTTAAAACAAGACTATAACAGAAAAATACTATTGTAAAATAGCAGAATCATAACAGAGGTGGTTCACCGTGACCATTCATGGTTTAATGATATGCTTAAATTGGTCAAAATCCTAGTGACTGCATTTAGGCTTGGCAAGTTTTTCTGAGGCTTAGTATGGTGTGTGAGCCTAAAGTGTTTAGTTAATTCATGATTTTATGTTCATAAAGGCAGAGAAAATGTATTAATTCAGTAACCAAGTTAAGTATATTGCATTAATCCAGCAATTTGTCACAAAGCATGGTTTATGTACGAGGAGGACTAACTCCAAAGCATATTATTGTCAAACGTCAGGGAAATCAAGAGACCCAGGCAATTCAAATGAGTTTAAAGATTTAATGCAAGCTTAAGCTCTCTACAAAAATCTGACTTACTAATGGTCAAGAGAAATGAGTGGGAATAAAGGCATTCAAGGTGGCCAGGACATAGATCTCTTTCAGGTGTGCAAGGACTCAAGACTTATGATCATTTGACCCCTCCCTTGGCTCAGACAGTCATCTCCTACAATTATAGGTTTACATGAAATTATGTACTCAGTGGCATATGTGACAAGTATATGTGTGGGTATATCACAGAAAGAGAAATATATGCAGATATGCAGTATTAGAAACTTGAAATGCAATAGAACCACGGACTGGGCCATGGTATGCCACGTGACCAGGCCACGCAAACAAGCGAAGCCCCATCTGTGGGATGCAGGCAGCATGTGAAACACCCTCCCCATTCTGCGGAAAAACTTCCTCTCTCCACGGAAGTTGTCCCTGATACCCAAAAAGTTGGTGGCTGCCACAATAGAAAATAGTTTTATATTTAACCAGCATGTTGCATGAAGGTCAACACCAAGATATTAGATGTTTATTAGCCATGCAATCTGGAAATTTTTACCCTGAATCGTAGGAGCAAAACTTGGGTTTTCACCTGAGCGAAGTATGGTCTTCTATGTGCCAGATCTATCCCCCCGTCAAAAAAACCCTTTTAAAATGCTGTTATATTATCTTAGTTTCTGCCTGGATTTTTGCATTGAGTGCTCAAGGGCAGCTTCTAACTCCAGCACTGAAAGAAGAGGAAGGCATTCTCTTGTGGAAGTAATTATAATGTGGAAAGCAAAATGGCACAGAGCCAAGGCAGTCTTTCAGATTCTCTAGCAGGGATGGGTGGGTGGGGAAGATAGCTAGAGGTAAAGTAACTTTGATCAGGAAAAAAATGGTTTTGGCTTGTTCTTAATGCAAGATTAGCAAGCTGCAATCCCTTCCCTTAATAACAGTGCCATGCTACTTTCCTGTACGTAAAGACTAAGCTGACAGGTGTATCAAACGTTTTGATTACATCTTTGAAAAACAAGGAGAGGACTTTGGATGATTCGCATCTTATAAAACAAGATTAATTCTCCAAAGTGGCATCATTTATGCTCTATGGACTAAAACTCTCACCATCCTTGAATGTTTTCAGCAAGGCAGAGACAAGTACTGTAGAAGAGAA